AATTGTGGAAGAGAAGCATTATTTTGAATAAATTTTGCATTATCCACAACTTCATTACAAGGTCTAATTAGAATATTTGAAACGATGTTGATTTTTGATTCATCCCTAACAGTAATTTGTTCTTTATAGGGATTTGTAATTTCTCCCATCAATAATTGATACAACAAACGTGGTGGTGATTGCGTACTTACWGATGTCCTAGTTGAGGGACCTGGACACTGAATGCACCCATCACCATGGTCACACGAATCGCAACCTTTAAATTTACTGAAGTAACGAGAACACATTATTGTACTGATCACACAACACTGAATGGTAGCTAAAGCCGTTTGTTCTGTGTTTACATACTTTTTCCCACCCTTGCTCTCAAGGCTTATGCTAAAGACAAGGTTACTTACTGATTAAACTTGAATGCATCCCGCCATCAACCACTTTTTTATTTTTTTTTTTGTAGCGTCAAGGTAACCGGATTAAAGTCCTTTTTTGAATTTTTTTAAATCTTACTTTTTTACGATAAAGTTTTAAGACTCTCTTTGATTTAAGATTTAAATTTTATACTTACCGTTAGTATGGATAAATTTTTTACAATATAACACTACATATTAATTCACAAAACTGAGAAAAATCATACGATTCAAAAACAGTTTTTAAAGTGCAGATATGCAAAATTGATATCTACTGATAAAACGATTAAAAAAGATAAAGGGTTTCAAATTAATGTAATGAATTTCATGAATTCATTTTATGTTAATTTTTTCTTTGTTTATAAATAAAAATATTTAATTTTATGCAGACTGCAAAAACACCAAACTTGTTTACCTTTCTTTCACAGACAGCGGCACAAGTCAGGTAAAAATGAACTCTAAAGAATGCAAAAAAGAAAGTTACGTTTATGTATTTACAATAAGTAAGTGTATTTCCGTACTTGAAATTTTAACTAGAATTTTTTATTATGCATCTTTTATTGTTCATAAGCTCACARTTTACATCTATAGCTAGAGATTTAGAATAATAATTTTAGTGTTAATTAGAATTTAGAGTGTGAGGGGGTGAAGGACGTAACAAAAAAAAACTACATAATTTAGTTATTTACAGTATTTATTTTACTTATATTTATAATTTTTTTAAATTAATATTCCATATCATTACAAAAAATATTTCTTGAGGAATTCATATTTGCACAGTTATTGGTACTTTGTGTTTGTTGATATTCCTTTTCAGTATTGGATAAAGATGGATCACAATAATTATAATTTGCAAAACCTAAACTCCTCCAAGTTTCTTCGCGCTGTGAAAGACATCTTCTCAAATGTCGCCTTAGATGTTTCAGCTTCAGGCGATGGCCCGGATTAATATGACACGTTATCCAAGTTTCTTGATTCATGGTTACTTGCAGACTGACGARTTGATTACTTACACACTATTTTGTATATTTAGAAGAATGTTTGTTTTAACAGAAACACGTTTTGTAGACTACAATATGCAATGTCCTTGCGATGATACATACATTTCACTTTAGCAGCTTGCAACTTTGGTTGTTCCGGCAGTTCAATAACCTGTTTACATGTATACTTTTTTATAAAGTTCGCTTTTTCTCTCCCTTTTACATAAATTTTATTAACATCTTTTAGTACATTCTCTATAATTTGTTTATGTTTCCAATATGGAATATACCCCTCATTCCAATCAATACAATGATAATTTGTTGTCAACCATGCGACTTGTTGTTTTTCTTCAGTATACAACAAATGTGAAGGGAATGGAGGTTGAAATATGTAGTGTGAAAGCTTGTCTTCYTTTAGAGCAGCCAATTCCTTGACTATAAATTCYCGTCCAATGTTATAGCCTTGKACATCTATAATCATTGTATTGTTCTCCATTTTTTTACACTTGTTTTACAGATTTTGTAAGCGGTGTGTATGTGAATGCTCGATCACTAATAACTAAAGCGTATGCAATAGTTCCTTCACTTATACCAGTATTTGTATCAAATTCAYTTCTCAAAGCAATTGATTGTGTTTGCAAACCGGTTTTTTGCATGGAGCAGTCGATCACTATTAGCGGATAACTATCGAAAAATTGTYTASGTGTAATGTGTGTTTCTTTTTTTTCTATGTAATAGTATCGAGATCTAAAGTTTGCGAACATTTCATACAGTATACCAAAATGATGTTTTTTATATGAAACATTTAAATTTTCATAGGGGTATCTTTCATTGTTTAGGAATACTCTCATATTTGTTATGTCGCCTCGATCAAATTTACTCATATTTTTCTCAAGTTTTCCTTCTCTATTAGTTTGAAGACCGAAAATAATAWAGCGAGGTGTTTCAAATTTTGTAGATATTTTAACAGGCCAACTACATTTTGTAGTATTTGGAAAAAGTGGTAGAGTATGAAGTTCCCAGCTTCTATATGGTACCGCAATTTCTTTATCTTTTTCGATAGTTTTTGTTAATTTCACCTCTTCCTTTAAACCGGGCACTATGTGCGGAACTAACCACGCAATTTTTTCAATTACAACTCTTGCTTTTTCATCTGTTGAACAAATTAGAGCATTTGCATCACTGTTACTACGAATTAATATTAATTCTTGTGGTATATTTAGCATTATATTTTTGTAGTCTTCAGCAAATCCTAGTAGTCGACTTAATGGAATACATGCTTGAAAGTAACCCTCTACAGGTTTAGTGGCTTCTTCATTTAAATCCCAACCAGCCATGATTAATTTTAAACTTTCACTCTGATTTAATGATACTAAATTTTTCATAGTTGTCGTAATA